GGTCAAATAATTCTGTGTATGACAAAAAAATTATGAATTCAAAAAGTGGGTCGAATGAATAAAAACATCACCAATCTCATGACAATTTATTGCATCAGAATGAATAAATAATGCAGTTATGTGAATGAACTTTGTAAACAACATCTGGTGACCTGAGGTACATTTGTCATGCTAGGTGTTTTTACATGCATTAGTGCTAAACCAATGATACTTGCATACTGTGTACATTGATATACATGTATATTTAAAAATGTTCTTCAATAGATTGGAATACAATAGCATGGCTGCTCATAATGAAAAATTGTTACTAATAATTACCTAGTCAATTTCAGTTGTTGAATTACTTTTAAATTTAAAAATTAAACTACATATGACGTTGTAAAAGTTCACAAAATTATACGCATCTTATGTCCCAGTGAATGATTAGAAACATTAGTACAAAGTACTGTTAGTAACAGAATTTTTGTTCTGATCTGTGTTGAATCCCACTGAATTGATTGACTTATTTGAGACACAAATCATTAGCGATGTGTCATCAAAATCAGGGATGGCCTTACAACAGGGTTAACCTGAAATGAAGGTGATTTTTCACTAATTTTGTTTCATTAGGTGTACTGATTATGGAAAAGTAGACGGAAAAATACTGATAATAAGCAGTTAATTTTCCCATCTTCCTTCTTTAAAAAAAACAAAACATAGCAAAATCATAAAAAATTGCAAACAGGCATATATACACTGAAGTCAGCAAAAGCATGTGTGTGATGAATTATTTATAAAACTAAGTATTAAATGGTAGTTGTACATTGTATATTAATGAGCCTGAGCATTGAAGTCAGTATAATCATAGACCTGAGAAAACAAGGTCTATGGTATAATGCATTCTAATTTATGTGTGATCAATTCATGCAATGAAGTTGAATAGCGACTGACCCACTCGATAGTTACTTTTAAGGATACATGTATTAACACATTCAGTCAGTTTTATCCTTTCGAATTATGAATATTTTTCAAGGAAAAATACAATGATTTTCATATTGCTCTGGTGACTTTACTTGCCATGTTCCATATTATATCATTGTTTGCATGAAATAAGGATGAGGTGAAAGTTATCCTGCAATGGTTCACGCACACTGGACACAGAAGGTGACCTTTCTGTCTTGTTCTTAGTACTTCTTAATTATGGAATCGACTTATTTAGCAATTATATTGGCTTAAATTTTCTAAATTCCATACATCATTGCAAGAATGTCCTCCAAATCTGTCTTAATGGATTAAAATGACAATAGAAAACAAACAAAGGGCGGTTTCATGAATGTAAACAACATACAATATTGTCCTGTGTTTCCCTTGTGCGATCTCAGGGATCCCCCCTTGATTAAGAGAAAAACGTGTGATCAAAATAAAAAATACCCAAATATCAAGTATCTCAAAGCGGAAGCAAGTCTAATCAAGTTTTAGTTGAAATTGGATTAGTTCCATACTAAATGACAACACATGCCGATGACGATATAATATAAACAGGATAATTATTGTATAAATAGATTCATGTCGATATGAAGTGCAAAGTGCAGAACAAAACCATTTTGGTCACAGATCGTGCCACGCATTTTGTACGTGTGCGATATCACCGACAAATGTCGCAAACTGTAGGTTTTAGCACTGTCGTCAACATCTATTTTAAAAATTTGCCCACTTACCGTCATCGAAATTTCGATTGCGAATATTTCTGTGCCTCGACATATTTGTCTTGTTGCTCGACCACCTCAAAGTACCATCATGAGATTATCTGAACTCTCGAAAATACCAATTCTTTCAATGGAAATTGCACTTTCAAGCTTCAAGACCGCCGCCATATTGGAAAAGGGCGACCTCAAGGAAACCCGAACATTGGTTGACGAACGGCAGATTGGGTTGAAAGGATTGGGAGATAACATTTTAAGAAGAGGGGTATTAGTTTCTTTAGAAATAAACAGTGGTCTGTTGTTAGTCAAATAATAAACACAAATTTTATCAAATATATTTAATTTAAAGTTTAAATGTTCGTAGAACAGATTGTAGCGTTTATCTGTTAAAATTGTGATGTAGGCTGTGCTTTTAAATATGTACTTCTCCCTTTTATACTAGATCTCGCATAAGTTTGCGGGTCCGAGATTTGAACGAGAAATCGGAAGCCATGCTCGTTCTTTTCACGAATTGGTTTGTCAACTAAGTGAGCTAGGTATGGGAACTGTGGTCTTTTATTGATTTTTTTCTCAATTTGTTAAGATTTCCTGCCAATTAATAAAGTCAGCCGATGCTATATTAAGTACTCTTCAATTATTTTCAGGCGGTAAATTAACAAAATGCAGAACGAAGCCGGAGAATGCGTGGATATGTACATCCCTCGAAAATGGTAAGTCGAAATATTGTGACCACTTACTCAATCAACTTAAAATAATGTTACATATGATCGTTAGAAGGTTTATTTTTTTCTTGGGTTTATTATGAAATTTCTATTTCAACTTTGATTTCAGGGTTCATGTTAGGGGTGAAGGGTCTTTGAGGAACTCTTTTCATTTGAACTTATGGTAAAATATTGATGTCTCTGAAAAAGTGTGAAAATATTAGACTATAGTTGATTTTAGGATTTACTAATCATTTTATTATGA